TAGTGAGTCTTGTCATACCTAGCACTTTACTACATCTCGTCAAAGAGACAAATGGAGTCGATCCTTTGACCAAATGTGTGCTAAACAGTTGCTAAGTTTTATTTTGGTACCGTCTCAAATTAAATCTTCTCGTCAACATTTGTTCGGACAATAAAGGTAAAGAGGCCTGAGGGGGTCAGTAAAGGTCAGAAAAGAGCATCACTAAAGAGCCATCAGTGTCCGGTTCATGATGACTAGAATGGCGTGATTTATTTGTATATTTTAATGTATCGATGATACTCTAGCATATACTCTCTAAAGAATAAAGCATTAAGTAAACAATTCTCGATTTAAAATTCAACTAGTTTAAATTCTTGTTGTCTATTTGTATGGCGAATGCGTATGATTGTTGCAGCACTAGTAAGGACATCTCATGGGATAAAACTAGTCTCGAAGAAAGTTTGCTTTCTATACATCTGGCATGGTTCAATCCCATTGGTCGCTAGGCTCAAGATCTAAACTCTGCCCCAATTAACTCGCTTTTCTGTCTTTCAGTACAAACTTTTCTGGCGAAATGGAGGCATCAGGAATCAGTCTCGGGCTGCGAATTTTGGATGAGCGCAATAACGAGGTCGTGAGCACCGCCGAGGGAGAAGAGATCCGGTTAGACGTTGTCCTCATTGATCCTGCCGGTGAGCAAATGGTCCACTTAAGTGAGATCTGAAGTGTACTTTTCCTGGGCTTTTGATAGAATGAAAGGGTACTTCAGCCACTCACACGTGGGTTATTTCGAGGCAGTTGGTCTGATTCTTAGTACAAGAGTCATATTGCCGCCTTTTTCATTAGAAAAGCCTGGATTTTGTGAGTACTCGGTATTGATGAACTTCAATTGCGGCCTCAACTAAGTTATTACCATAGAATTGCTGCGAGGCTGGAAATTTACTTTTAGCGAAAATAAGTAACGCCGATGATGTTGACGGGAAAGAAATATGTTATCTCATCGAAAATCCAAATGCAAAGGCCTTTTTGGGAGATCACATGCAGCAAAAGTCGCATCTGCCCCGAGACCAACTGGGCCCCGTGGCTGCGTGGTCGATTGGAAATGCATGAGCCGGTTAAGCCTCTCATTGAAGGAGCTGACGGGACGATGAGGAAGCTCGAAACTACTGAATAAGAAACCATTCTGGAAGGCAGTGCTAAGGGAACTTCAATGGCAATTAGAGGCATTTTGTGCGTAAAACTCAAATATTAATTCTTACATCACCCTTGACCACATGGTCAGATTAATTTCTTAGCAAACGAGAACAAAGTTGGTTTGTCATTAATTCTAATGAAAGAGTGTGGTGAAAAGATTCAAAGGTTGATCTCACCAGAAGACGATAGCAGATTCCTCTTGGACAGCTGTCGACTGGCCATTCTTATTGACGCAGTTTCCGAGGCAATCTCCTTCGACTCCTGTCAAAGCAGGGCATCATCCTAACAACCATATTCAAGATAACGAGTCAAGAAGACTCATCGGTTTATCCATAAATGTTGTATGTATATACATACACCCTGAATCTATGCATTTTGTTAGTTCAAGTCATATGAATATGTCTATTTAGGTGTGATTATATGCCTTTATATGTGCGAACCAAGCAGTGGCAGCTCAAAGTTATTTGAATAGAATACAATATCCTTTCTCGGTCATCAAGGCTTACTGACCACAATCTTCTCCTTTTTTTAATTAAGGTTTATACGCAGCTTGTCGGGATGAGTTTGAGTTTTCTAGACTCGTTAGATTGAATATGGTTGTGGTAAGGATACCTTGCTCTAAGAAGATCCGTCATATGTCTCACGAAAGCATTGTACGTTTTCCCCGAAATTAAAGGAATAAATAAATACAATTTTAATATTGAAATTATGATGGTCTTGAGAACTGGCCTCACTTGAAACGGTACCTATGGGTCAAGAGGTGTCAGTTGAAATGTTAACTTGATTCAGTGTTAACTTGACGCTTTTGCAGGAATGAATTGCATCTCTGACGAGGTTCGTCAAATGACATGACGGACATAAGTTTAGTCCGTTGCCACTCGAGACGAAGCAGGAAGTCCCGGGGGTTGCGTAATCTTGAAATGCGAGATAAAAGTCTTCACAATAATTGCTTTCAAGAGATCAATCACACTCTGTAACTATTCCCACATCCAGGATCGCTTGAACAAGACTTGTATTAGGGTCAAGTGTTGGTACTGCAATTGCTGGGGCGTAGGGTCGAAGTAACAGACTCCTCGTTGGAGCCTCGAGCTTGGGCACAAGTCAGTGGAAAATACATTCTGTCGGATTCGTGAGAAGCAAACGGCCGTACCGGTTAAGTTGACTATGGGCAAGAAGTTGTGTCACAACGAGGACAGCAAGAGAAGCCGGTGAAAGTGGGGAAATTTTTGATGTCTTCTGCTCGTGGTTGTAATAAATCAAGTAAACTCCTGCCCAAACCAGTGTTGCATCTTCGCCTCTCTCAGTGCCTCGGGTCGACCCTTTTTCCCTGCCGTCCTGTCGCCTCTTCTGGCACCGAGACTGGCCTCGAATTGTCAGACTTGGCTGCTTCCGCCCCGCCCGGTTGCCGGGCTGTGGGGGCTGGGCGGATCACGGGTGGTTTCGGTTAATTATGGGGCCGCATTTGCGGCACGTCGAGTCGGCAGCGGCAATCGTGCCCTTCAGTTTGGCCAACGTTACGCCGACTCTCGCCCAATCGGCTCGAGGCATGACATTCGCCGTGGCCTGTCCTGCAGATCCGGGCCGACGCTAGTTACGTCGTGCCCCGCCCTCGACGCGGCACGCAGCCGTCCCGACCGACGGACCACCTCGGCCTCCACGAGCTCGAAGCACCTGTCCGGATGCTCCACCTCGTGTCTGGCCAAGCCGGCGAAAACGACCGAATGGGCGGGAAAACAGCAAAAGCAACAGACTCAGGCGCCAACTTGGCAAAGACAAAAGTGGTCGTCAGGTCAACAGCAAGTGAGGTAAACTTTCTGCCTCTCCTCGCATTCCGGCCCTGATTTCTTCTACAGCCAGCATGGCCTCGTGTGATTATTGCTTTTCCCAACTATCCTCGCGTCTGCATTATTCTGTGCCGTCGGCCTATTCTGCACACCTCGCTCCCTTTTTCCCATCCGCGGCTGACTGGAAGTGCCGCATAACTGGGCATTGTTTGACCACCCTAAAGGCCGAGTTTGAGCGCTTTATTCCCACAAACATAAAGATGTCCCATTCATGGCTCTTCACCTCGTCGATTCAACACAAAACCGCACATCACTACTCACCTCCCGGGGCTGGAAGCACGCTGCCACACAAAGCGACTGACCATCCAGCAGACACAATAACGCAACATAAAGGTGACGACATTCTTAGCATCAAAAGAAGCTGGAAATGTCTGGTAACGTCTATATTATGGGACCCATTCGCACTCGTGCTTCTAGAAACGCTTGGCCTCAGTAGCCAACTGTTGCTAAGCTGGCTGGTTATATGCTACTCTTCCCCCAAAGACCAAGAGTGGGAAGTTAAGCAAGGCATACTTGTGTCTCAGTGATAGACTCATCGTTGGTTTTTCCTTTTCTTTTCATATATTCACATAAATTCAGCAAATCAGAATAATTATATTTGGAAATAGTCATCATATACCAAATAAGAATTTGAATCCTCCTAAATCGTCACACATTTCCACTCGGCCACACAGCAATGGGTGCCATTTATAATGGGATTTTAGCCCTTTAGCAAAATTAACTGAGACTTTCAAAATATACTTTATATGAATATATAAGTAGTGTAGTGTATTGTAATGGCGAAATGCAAGCTTATAAGATGCATTCATCCGAATTCGCTTGAAGAAGAAAGGAGACTGATAGTTGGCTTTTCATACAATAATATGAGTAGACCTTACCTTCCCACATATTCCTGCTTTACAAAAGACATTCTCATCAAGGGTGTATTGCAGTTTGGACTTCGCCCAAGTCATATTAACGCCCCCAGCGGGACTCGAACCATGACAATACGGCGTAGAACCTCGACACTTTAACCACTACGCCACATTGCCACAAGGGCCCTTGGGTCACAGAGCAGATATGAATTTTGAGCAAGGCCAGGCATTTTCCCATATTACATTGTGTGGTTGGATTGTTGATGAAACAAGGTTGTATTAGCCATAGAAATCGATTACATTACTTATTTTTCATTTTATAAATAGATTTTCGAAACTATCAGAAGATCATATATTTGAGATGTATTCGCCATATTTCGTTTAAGAGAAAAAGAGCATGCTAGTCGCGAAAACACCTGCCTGTGAAACGAAAAATAAGCGATGTAGTCGATTGCTATACAAATAATACAACTTTTCTTCATCAGCAATCCCACCACAAAATAAGGCATAGGAAAAGGCTTGACCCTCCCTGAAATTCATATCTGCCCTGTGACCAAAGGGTACTTGTGGCTATATGACGTGGTAGTAACGTTTAAAGTTTATGACCTGCATTATTCCAGTTTGAGACATAAGTCAGCTTTTCTAGAAGCAAGGCTCTGTGATTATATAGAAACATGGGACGTACTCATATAATTTTTTAAAAATTCACCTTTTAATCCTTCATCACCTTATACTACCTGGGGAGATGGAAACTATTACTCAAGATTCACTCATATTTCCGATACCGGCTGTATAAGGATACTTATTCAAAGGTACCGGACGTTTTAATACTACTTATTTGGTAAATAATAGTCTGCGTGATCATTATAGCAAATATACCTTTACTTGATTGGTAATCCCAGTAAAATTGTGATTTGCAAGAGGCAGGCTTTTCTTTCAAATCCCATCTAGCCTCTGATACACTTACACCCATGGCCTTTTGGCGGAGTGGTATGGCGCAGCTATTCGAGTCCTGTAGGAAGTGAGGATAAGACCCAAGCGATCTCAAAACTAAGGTCCAGCTTGGATGGGTAAACACATTTTCGAAGGCCAGAATAATTGAACTTTAATCACATCGTGATGTCTATTATGTATTAGGGGGACCTTCACTTCGGATGAAAGTGCATGAAGAAGAGATTCGTTGGTCGATCTCACCAGATGAAGACGGATGAATCTCGTTGTACTGCAGCCGTTTGGCATTTATACGATATTCATGTGGACGTAGTCCACAAGACTTTCCCGCTCGTTTCGAGTGAAAACGTGCTGAACTTTCGTCCATCTTATGATGGACATCATCAAAGCGTCAACATGAATATCGTATAAAAGCCAAACAGCTGCAGTACAACGGGATTCATCCGTCATCTTCTGGTGAGGTCGACCAACGAATCTCTTCTTCATGCACTTTTATCCGAAATGAAGGTCCCCCTAACGATGTCATCTGTGGAGCTTCATCAAAACCAAGTTTCTCTGCCTATTATTTACATTGTGGGAAATTCCACCATCATTCCTCAACTCAAATAAAGGTACCTAGAATGACTCACTCCACACACTAAGATAATCAAGTCGTATCCTTTTATTTGAGTTAAAAGGTCACCAAATCTTTTACCACCTGGAACAGATATTATTTCATTTCAAATCACTCCTTATTGCCACCCATGGCCAATATAAATGCACACAGACTCACACGCATTCTGGTACACGATAGGCTACATATGTATGCATGCACAGAGATAACAGCATATCGACACAGATCAACATACATGCATGTTCACACACCTGCCAAAATAAACATACACACTTGTGCACATATAGGTATAGATAGCCATACAAACATGAAAAAAAATTTTCCACGTCATTTGATATCTCTTTTAGAAAAAATTCCTTTTTTGAGGGGCTTATATTATGGAGGGATTAGATAGTCCGTGTTCATGACCATAAGTTAACTTGGAGCTGTGGTGAGCTGTAGGACAGACGATAAACTCGAACATTGGCACATAGAAGGAAATTCAGCCTCCTCTTCTGGTGAGATTGACTTACAAATATTTTCACTGCACACATACACTCAAATTCATAGTCAGCTCGACATCGAGCAACTGTGGTTTAATATAAAAGCTATTATTTGTGTTGACTCATATTTAGTTATTCATGGCGTTGAAGCACTAGGATGCAACAAGTTATCATTTCAGTGCTAGTCTTCATCCATACGCCACTCACAATGGCTTTTTCTACCAAACCCTAATCTTTTCAATAGATACACTCTCTACCACAAGCAGATATGGAGCCCAATAAAATAATTAGCTGCATTCACAGTGAAGTAATTAAGTCCTATTTTGCCCATCTGTGGAACAGAAATTGTGCAGAAGCTTATTTTTCCTCAAACCCAATTTCCTTCACAATGAAACTTGGTGTTGGAAGGGTATTGTTGAAATTTTATGCGTGGTATCTTTTGAGTCTTTGTCGCATATTCGAAGCAGAGCATCTCATCTCATGATTGTTCAATTGAAAAGTTGCCGATATAGTGTGTGCCAAAATGTATACGTCTCACTAAAAGAATAACTCAATCTCTTCGGTCAAGCTATTTAGAAGATTCCGAAACTCAAGTCTTCTACCGAGTAGATTTCAGATCCATTCGCAACCCTGAGAAAAAAAAGAAAATATTACAAAGGCTCTGCATTCAGTGGACGCACACACTTAAACTATCCCTACTTTATAGCATTTATCGCTCTCCTCCTTTACCTCCTTCAGGGCATTCTCCTCTGTGTAACAATAATATGTTCAATCGCCTAATCACAGTGGCACATGAGCAAAGACAATAATCGAATTGGTAGATCTTTTAATACGCATACACACACATATATACACTCACGCACACGCACATATACACACACGCTCGACAATGAAATGAGTTAGATTTTATTTGGCCATGGCTAGAGCAAAATTTATACGTGGCATCGTCCTCATCAGTACCTTTAGTGGGATTCAAAATGGAGTGATACGTGCTAAGTGGCGACAAGTTATGGCTCTGCTAGTGAGTCCCGGGGAAGATGGAATTTTTAACTCAACTTATGGGACAGATGTCGATTAGGCAAATTTGTATCTATTACAACGATTGGCGATATTACTATGTATCAAATGAGTAGGCTCTATCATAAGAGCTTTAAGGCTCCTTGGTCGTATACGATCAAATAAGAATTGATAGTTATGAAGTATGCATATTTAATTGGCTTAAATTGTGATTCCTTGCCATTGCCTAGATACACATTAGATGGCACAGGGAATAATTTTTTCAGCAGTTCATATTTGCCTATCGTCATTGTCTTCAAACATTTTTTAATGTTTAAGCTCAATGCTTCCGTCAAAACGCAAGACCGGCTCAAGTCACTTTATCCTAATATGTATCAATACCCTGTCCTCATGACAACATACAGTCGAGCCGGGCTGCTGAGAAAAAAAGGAAGTAAATGAAGCAACTTCTCTCCTTCTTATGTATGGTCGATGCGTCTGTATCAGGAGAGGGGACACTACAAGAACTATTTTCAATGACTTAATCAGCACTTAACGCGACAATGTAGCTTCCGGTTTTGTTGACAGCCTCATTCGATGCATCTCGCATTGTTTAATCCTCTTGATGTCCGACACTTAATGTGAATTCAGCCCGTATCTTTCAGTTTCTTTCTACAAAGGTAGACAACTTTCGTGCTACCTATTTTTGAAAATAGGTTTTGGCTATAAAATAATAAGTGTTCACCAGACATAAAAAGAAGCTGAGCTTCGACTCACCTCTCCAAACAATACGAAAGGTAAGCCAACATTAATAAATGCTCAAGTCCTATATCTAAGGCAGGGTGATCGCGTGTTAATAAGGCCTTATGTATTCCAGGAGCTCAAACGGAATTGAATTTTATGGGAAGATTTTACCCAATTTTCTAGTATTCCTATTTCGGGCACACAAGGCAGTAATACTAAGGCAGCGCCCAAAGGATTATAATGATTAGATAGAAAAGTGCGCTTCCAGGGCGGCCAACCTGTGAGCAGCCTGCACCAAAACTTTACTTCTTTGAAACATAAATTGTTAAAAAAGTAAGCTTTATACTTTACTGTAAACGCTTGAGTCAAAATCGGAAGCAACGAGTCACGAATAGAGATCCTTAATAAAAGCTCTTAAATGCAAATTTCTCGTAGAATTGAAATGCCTTCTTAACCACGTGGTCCGTAGAGCCTAACATCCATCAGGGCTACCTCAGAAATGTAGATACGAAGAAAACTTGGTTTCTATGAATCTCCTGAGATAACATTGTTAGGGGAACTTCATTTCGAATGAAAGTACATGAAGAAGAGATTCGT